AAATGTCCATAACAAGGACATTCTTCCCACTGTCCAGAACAGGGACATCACCCCCACAGTCTACCATAGGGATACCCTCCTCACTATCCACAAAAAAAGGTACTCATCAGTGTCAATCACAGAAATATTCTTCCCCAGTCCATCAAAGTGACATCCTTCCCAATGTACACCACAGTGATTTTCCTCACTTTCTACCACAGCGATATTCTACTCACTGTCCACCACAGCATTGTGCTTCCCATTTTTTCACCACAGGAGAATACTTTCATGGTCCAGCATAGAGACATCCTCTCAACTGTCCACCACAAATATGAGCACCCCATATGAGAAATGCAACATATTCGTCCTTCCAGCACTAAAGGAAACAACCACACAGCTGAAAACACTGAATTCACATTTTATGTGATATTTCAGTTAGGACGAGTGTTTGGTTTAAAGCAGAAACACTTGTACAATCTGGCCATGTATACTTCATTGTTTTATATAGAATGTGCAAGTAAGTTGCTAGATTCCAGGAGAAAAGCACTATAAAACATACGGAAAAAAACATGCTGTAAAGATAGAAGAAATGGAAAACATTGATACTTCCAGTGCTAAAGGCAACTACCAGACAGCTGAAAACACTGAAATCACGTTACATGTGACATTTCAGCTAGGTCGTGTGTTTGGTTTAAAGCATAGACACTTGTACAATCCGGCCATGTGTATTTCATTGTTTTATATAGAATGTCCAAGTAAGTTGCTAGAATCCAGCAGAAAAGCACTATAAAACGTATTGAAGAAACCTACTGTAAAGATATGACAAATGCAACACTTTTGTACTTAAAGCACTAAAGGCAACTACCACACAGCTGAAAACACTGAAATCATGTTATATGTGACATTTTGGTTAGGACATGTGTTTGGTTTAAAGCATAAACCCTTGTACAATCCGGCCATATATACTTCATTGTTTTATATAGAATGTTCAATTAAGTTGCTAGATTCAAGCAGAAAAATATTATAAAATGTATGGAAAAAACCTGCTGTAAACATATGAGAAATGTAACGCATTCTTACTTAAAGGTCTGAAGGCAACTACCACACAGCTGAAAACACTGAATTAACATTACATGTGACATTTCAGTTAGGATGAGTGTTTGGTTTAAAGAATAAACACTTGTACAATCTGGCCATGTATACTTCATTGTTTTATATAGAATGTCCAAGTAAGTTGCTAGATTCCAGTAGAAAAGCATTATAAAAGTATGGAAAAATCCTACTGTAAACATACACGAAATATAACACATTCGTACTTAAAGGTCTGAAGGCAACTACCACACAGTTGAAAACACTCAATTCATGCTACATGTGACATTTCAGTTATGTCCTGTGTTTGGTTTAAAGCATATAAACTTGTACCATCCGGCCCTGTATATTTCAGTGTTTTATATAGAATGTCCAAGTAAGTTGATAGATTCCAGCAGAAAAGGACTATAAAGCATAGGAAAAAAACCTATGGCAAAAATAGGAGAAATGCAATATGTTAGTACTTCCAGCACTTAATGCAACTACCACACAGCTGAAAACACTGAATTCACGTTCCATGAGACATTTCAGTTAGGACGTGTGTTTGGTTTAAAGCATAAACACTTGTACCATCTGGCCCTGTATATTTCAGTGTTTTAATAGAATGTCCAAATATGTTGTTAGATTCTAGCAGAAATGGACTATAAAAGGTAGGGAAAAAAGCTACTACAAAGATATGCGAAATGCAACACATTTATACTTCCAGAGCTAAAGGCAAATACCACACAGCTGAAAAAAATTAATTCACATTACTTGTGACATTTCAATTAGAATGTGTATTTTGTTTAAAGCATAAACACTTTTACCGTCTGGCCCTGTATATTTCATTGTTTTATATAGAATGGCCAAGTAAGTTGCTAGATTCCAGCAGAAAAGGACTATAAAATGTATAGAAAGAACCTACTGTAAAGATCAGCGAAATGCAACACATTCGCACTTCCAGGGCTAAAGGCAACTATCACAGAGATGAAAACATGGAATTCACATTACATGTGACATTTCAGTTAGGAAATCTGTTTGGTTTAAAGCATAAACACTTGTACAATTTGGCCATGTATATTTCATTGTTTTACATAGAATTTCCAAGTAGGGTGCTAGATTCCAGCAGAAAAGCAGTATAACACGTATTCAAGAAACCTACTGCAATGATATGCGAAATGCAAAACGTTCGTCCTTCCAGCACTAAAGGCAACTACCACACAGCTGAAACCACTGAATTCACGTTACATGTGACATTTGTGTTAGGACGTGTGTTTGCTTTAAAACATATACAAATGTACCATCCGGCCATGTATATTTCATTGTTTTATATAGAATGTCCAAGTAAATTGCTGGCTTCCAGCAGAAAAGGACTATAAAATGTAGGGAAAATTCCTCCTGCAACGATATGCCAAATGCAATACATTTGTACTTCCAGCACTAAAGGGAACTAACACACAGCTGAAAACACTGAATTCTCATTACATGTGACATTTCAGTTAGGACTTGTGTTTGGTTTAAAATGTAAACACTTGTACCATCCGCCATGTATATTTCAGTATTTTACATAGAAAGTCCAAGTAAGTTGCTATATTCCAGCAGAAAAGTATTATAAAACGTATGGAAAAAACCTACTGTAAAGATAGGAGAAATGCAACACTTTCGTACTTAAAACGCTAAAGGCAACTACCACAGAGATGAAAATACTGAATTCACATTACATGTGACATTTCAGTTAGGGCATTTGTTTGGTTTAAAGCATAAACATTTGTACAATCAAGCCATGTATACTTCATTGTTTTATATAGAATGTCTAAGTAAGTTGCTAGATTCTAGTGGAAAACCAGTATAAAAAGTATGGAAAAATCCTGATGTAAAGATATGCAAAAAGGAACATATTCATAATTCCAGTGCTAAAGGCAACTACCACACAGCTGAAAACACTGAATTCATGTTACATGTAACATTTCATTTAGGACTTGTATTTGGTTTAAAACATAAACACTTGAACAATCTGGCCATGCATATTTCATTGTTTTATATAGAATTTCCAAGTAGGGTGCTAGATTCCAGCAGAAAAGCACTATAATACGTATTGAAGAAACCTACTGTAAAGTTATGTGAAATGCAATACATTCGTACTTCCAGTGCTAAAGGCAACTACCACCCAGCTCAAAACACTGAATTCATGACACATTTGACATTCCAGTTAGGATATGTGTTTGGTTTAAAGCAGAATCACATGTACCATCCTGTTTCCAATAGCAACACATGGGGCACTAAAAAGGAAGACCATTCTAACTTTGAGAGCAGCTTTGAGTACTGAGTTCCAAGACGGCTTAGGGTGTCGTGCAGTGCTCGCGCCTAGGGATCGCGGGCTGACAGGACTGCCGCAGGACACCGAGGCTGGCATCAGCTCCAAGCCGGGCCAGCGGGGGTGGGTGAGCGGCCTCAAGGTCGGGGGCATGGAAGGAGCCAGCCGAGCCGGCCCAGGGCCTTCAGCAGCCGACAGGGTGGGGCTCACTCCACAGCGGCCTCTGGTCACCCAAAAACCGGAGCGGGACCTCCGTCCCAGCCCCCAAAAGCGAGAAAGTGTTGTCAGCTCTCTTAATTCTCTCCTTCCAGGAGTCGCTCGTGAGAGCCCAGGGAAGAAAAGTGTCTCAGCTATTTTAGTTCAGCTCGCTCTTCCTGCTGAGGGGAGAGGAGAGTGTTGTCCTTTGAAGTGCGCTACTGGCGACTGGCGAGGGATCCCGAAAACACTCTGACAGCAGGAGACCTTGCACCACACAGCAGTAGTCGTTTAATTTGAGCTCTGGAATTATATATATACAGTTTCGGGGAAAGAACAGGTAGCCCCTATTGGTTTGGCTTGGGTGTTTGAGGATTCCTTATTTGCATGGAGGTGCTATCCTATGTGATAAGGGTCACGGGTCTCTTTGGGGGAAGCGGAAGCTAAGAGGGCCATCAGCGTGGGAAATCTGAAGCAACCTTCCGTCCTGTGACCCTTTTCAGGCCGAGGTTTCCGGGGCTTCGAAGATTTCTACCAAGCTTTCTGGCTTTCTCATAGCCCACTGCCCCACATTAGGGTACCGAGTCTGAAATAACTTGTGTTTTTTTAAAGGACTTTTCTGTACCAAAGGCAATAAATAATGATTTCAGTCTTTTACTTCACCCTGTCTCTGTGATGGTTTCAAATGTTGAACAATCTTTCCACTTCAAAAGTAAACCCTACACATTCATGTTACAAGTTTGGCAGTAACTCATACCACTATAAAATCAACAATTTTTCAGAGGATGACTGTTTCAGGACCTCAGAAGCCCAGTGCTTAAAATCTGCAGTTTTCTGGAGATAAAGCTATGTGAAGAAGATGTGGATGCTGTTGTGAGACAAACTATGTTTCAGAACATGAAAACTGACCCACGAGCAAATTATGAACAAACTGTAAAAGATAAAATAGGAATGAGAAACGCTATGGGACATTTCCTTCACAATGGTGAAGTGGTTTATAGTAGTAAATATGTTGATTGTTGCGTCAAGTGCCTATATGTAGGCCAAATAATCTGTGGTTTCAATATATATCTCCAGGTAATAATTCAATTTGGAAGAATCAAATATTTTAACTGACAGAGGAACTAAGTTCCAAGTAGTCTTTTACTAACTAAGTAAGTTCAAAATTTCTTACTTTTGGCCCACACAGATCAACTTTTTAAAGTGTATCAGCAATCTTATCCTAGGTGTTATAAATGAAGATTTTACTTCATCTTGTGCTGTTGTTTTATTATTTTGATTTTATCTGTTTTTTGCTGTTGTTGATGCTGCTGCTGCTGATACTGGTTGTGGAGTTGGTGTGTGTGTGTGTGTGTGTGTGTGTGTGTACTTGTGTGTATTGTGTGCATACTTGTGTGTATATGTGTATTTATGTGTGTTTGTGTGACATCGATAGAGAGAAGAGAGAGACAGACAGAAAGAGTGAGAGAGAGAGAGAGAGAGAGAGAGAGAGAGAGAGAGAGATGCATAGTATAGCCTAGGCAAACAAGTCTTGAGTTCATATTCCTCTGTCTCTGAAAAACACCCATGCCAATTTTTATAATTCGAAGATGAGGTTTAAAGTGTTTTCCAATGTGTGACCTTTTTTTCATTGTAATAATTAGAATAATGTTTTAATAATTTTATCTGATATAAATTGAATTTAATCAAAGGCAATATGCTTTTTTATAACCTCATTATAAGCCAGGTGATGTGGATAAGTATTAAATTTTTCATTGTAATATTCTTTAAGCATCAGCTTATATTTTAGTATAACTCGATTTTTATATTTTTTTAGAAAATCTTCTTGTTTGTCTCTTCTGCCACTTAATGTCATCTCTCACATCTTAATCACCCCCCCAAAACAATTGTCTTCACAAGGATAGGTCATGTTCTGTCACAAATTCAAATAATAATTTTATAGTGTTGTCTCTAACAGCTGAAGATTCCAACTGGCTTTATGCCTTTTAAGTAATATAGTTATCATTCCAAATTCTGTTTTGTTTTCTCTTTTTTTGTTTTTTCAAGACATGGTTTTTCTGTGGAGCCCTGACTGTCCTAGATCTCACAGTGTAGACTATGTAGGCCTTGAACTCACAAAGATCTTTCTGCCTTCCAATGCTGGGGTTAAACGTCTGTGCCACTACTAAGTAGGTATTTCAAATTCTTGTCCAGTAAAATTATAACATTGGTTGTTCTGACAACCTGTGTCACTTTGACTTTCCTTGTTGAATCCCTTATCTCATTTTTCTTTGGTCTGGGGAAAAAAAACAACATGTATCTCTAAAGGTTGCATTTTAAGTATGAGTATTCTCTTAATATAATGATTGATAGATGGCAAAATGTAGCTTTAAAATTCTAATATATTTTTAACTATTAAAGTATTGTTATTTCTAAAAATTGGTTATGATTGGGTAGTAGTAGCTAGTGATATCTACTTACTATGTTACTAAACTGACGTTTAATTTAGTGATCAGTGGTGTGAGCACAGGTATCCAACTGGTATCTACTGTGAGTTTGGTGAAGTGTAAGGTGAGTTATAGACACTAGACCTCTCTCTGTATACTTAAGGACTGTCCTGTGCTTCTCCCATTAGGTTCCATTGGAGACTGGAAACATCATTTGACTGTTGAACAGAGTGAAAGATTGGACAAGATATTACACAGGAACATGGAAAACATCCCGTTGAAATTCAACTGGGACACAAATGAGGAGTAGAATATTAATCACTATGTGAACAAATCATATTAAAATGTACTAAACCAAGGTTGTACTTGAATATTAAAATTAATGTACTTGTCTCACTTAACTATTAGTTATAAAGCATAATTCACAGACAAAATGATGACCTTTGGTCTAGATTTCCATGATATTAAATTCAAATGGAGCTAGTAGCATTGGTTTCTTTTTCCAAAAATATATTGTAATAGAAAGCATAAAACAGAGCTTGTAGATATATTTTTTTAGTATTCTATAGTTCATGTGATTTTTTGCCCTCAATTAATTTATGATCAAACAATCATTAAGAATCTCTTTATTCTGGTAATTAAACTTTAATTTATTTTGCTCAACATCAGTAAGCTTGATACAATGTCCTGTGTGAAATAAAGGCAAATTTTCTTTATAAATAGATGCATTTTAAAAACAATATATTGGGTATCAGTTTTCTAAAGACATAAAAATCAAAGATTAAATATTTTCCAGTTTACAATGAACAAATTAGGAAAAGATCTTTACCAATCCTACATCTGAGAGAGGGTTAATATCCAATATATACAAAGAACTCAAGAAGTTAGACTTTAGAGAATCAAATAACCCTATTAAATACAGAGTACAGAGCTAAACAAAGATTTTGCAACTCAGAAATCTCGAATGGCTGAGAAGCACCTACAGAAACATTCAATATATTTAATTATCAGGTAAATGGAAATCTAAACAACCCTGAGATTCCAGATCACAAGAGTCAGAATGACTAAGAACAAAAATTCAAGTACAGCAGATGCTGGCAAGGATGTGAAGAAATGTCAGGAGCCATAATGGGACAAGTTAATAATTAGCAATTGATCATCCTGAAATGCTTGCCTCAGATTATTATATAATCTGCGACAAGTGTATCCCATTCAGTAAGGCTGTGGCGGATGTATTTTAGGAAAGATCTTGCTATTAGTATGCTTTTCCTATTATTATTATTTATTTATTTTTATTATTATTATTAAACATATGTAATAATCACTAAACAATAGCACACCCCTTTGGAGCAGATCTCTGCAGACCCATGAAGATATACTGTCTTATAGTGATATTATATAGGCAAATAGATGACTTCTTAAATCTTAATGATGATCCTATAAGAATTCCTAAAATTCTATCAATGATTGTTTAGCTCTTTTTATAGTGGGACTGGTATTACGTCCCTTTCTGGTAGTCAAGGCTGCAAGGAGAACTCTGCCAGTCTCCCGAATGTCATCAGTTATTTTGCCCTTAGATAGTAACCAGACTCTCTCCTGCTCAGAGCACATTCCAAGGTGGTCACAAAACAATTAACCAAAGGTCACTAAAAGGGAACTCATGATTTATTATAGGTGCTAGGACAGAAGAGAAAACATTGCCTGGGTTTATCAATACAAAACTTCACTAATTTCGTAGTTATAGTTTTAAACCTTCAGTGAACCTGTATAGTTAGACAGGTGATGGATGTTTAGTCAGATAATTACTCCTAATGGATATGCATGTAAACATTATCTGTTGTAAACTTCTATTTCAATTTATGATTAGAATTTTGGTGTGAACTTGTGATAAACTTTGTAACATGTGATCATGTACTCTGAATGAGGTATAAGACAAAGGGACATTCGTTAGTGGCTAGACTGACTCTCTCTCTCTCTCTCTCTCTCTCTCTCTCTCTCTCTCTCTCTCCCCCCCTCCTATCTCCTCTCCTCTCCTCTCCTCTCCTCTCCTCTCCTCTCCTCTTCTCTCCCCCCCTCTTCTCTTCTCCTCTCTCTCTCCATTCTCTCTCTCTCTCTTCTCTCTCTCTCTCTCTCTCTCTCTCTCTCTCTCTCTCTCTCTCCTTCTTCTTTCTTCCCTGCTTAAAATCTCTCCACTTAGAATTTTTTCTTCGTTATAATTTTTTCCCTTTCCTCACTTAGACCTTTCTGCTTTTCCCCTTAGATAGCTTTCATAGAAAACTTTTTACACTTATCAATAAACTATAACAACTTCTCTAAATGTCCTTTCTTCCTGTGATCTCAAACTAACAGACCTAAGTTAGAGCCTAGCAGCACCTGCAGAGACAGAACAAAGGCATTGCCTAATCCTCTATTGTCCATGGCCTGAGGTGCTAGTGGCCAGAAACTGCAGTTTCTGGCCTCAGAGGATCAAACAGATAGCAGGTCAGCTAGTAAGTAAACTTTAGTAATGTAGACAAGTAAGATTTTATTAAACAGCAACCGTAAATATCTCCTAAGACCAAAGTCTTACCCCGCTGATGCTCTTCCAATTCCCATCCCCCTCAGCTGCCTCAAAAAGAACCAACTGGAGAAGAAAGAAGATCACCTTCTCCTCTCACGAAGCCGGGGCTGGCTCCTAGCAAAGAAAGAAGAATACTCCTACATTGTTGGTGGGATTTCAAGATGCTACAACCAGTCCTGGTGTCAGCCTGGCAGTTCCTCAGAAAACTGAGCAATAATGTAATAATATAATAAGTAATAACTATGAACCCAGCTACACCACCCCCAAGCATATACCCAATATATTTTCCAACAGATAACAAGGAAACATCCTCCACTATTTTGATAGCAGCCTCATTCATAGTAGAAAGAAGTGGGATGAACCCAGATGTCCTTCAGCAGAGGAATGAACACAGAAAATGTGGTACATTTACAGAATGGAGTACTTACTACTCAGTTATTAAAAGCAATAAATTCATGAAATTCTTAGGCAAATGGATGGAACTAGAAATTATTATCCTGAGTGAGGTAACCCAATTACAAAAGAAAACACATGGTATGCTCAAAAGCTAGGAATACCCAAGATACAATTCACAGATCACATGAAGCTCAAGAAGAAGAAAGATTAAAGTGTGGGTCCTTTGGTTTCTCTTAGAAAGGGGAACCAAATATTCACTGGAGCAAATTCAGAGACCAATTGTGAAATAGAAACTGAAGGTAAGGTCGTCCAGAGTCTGCCCAACATGGGGATCAATCTTGTGGATGCCAAAAAGTGTGTGCTGCCAGGAGCCTGATATAGCTCTCTCCCTAGAGGCTTTGCCAGAGTCTGACCAATACAGAGGTGGATGCTAAGAGCCAATCTTTGGCCAGAACATAGGGTCCCTAATGGGGTCCAAATAGAGGAGTTAGAAAAGGACTGAAGGAGCTGAAGGAGTTTGCAATCCCATAGGGAGAACAGTAATATCAACCAATCAGACCCCACCCCAACCCCAGAGCTCCCAGGGACTAAACCACCAACCAAGAAGTACACTTGGAGGAACCCATGGCTCCAGTTGCATATGTAGCAGATGATGGACTTGTCAGTCATCCATGAGAGGAGACGCCTTTGGTTTTAAAAAGGCTCAATGCCCCAATGTAGGGACAATCAAGGTCATGGAGACAGTAGTGGGTGGGTACTTTGAGGGAACACCCTTATACTGCAAGGGAGAGGGAATGGTATAGTGGGTTTTGGGGGAAACCAGAAAAGGGAATAACATTTAAATGTAAATAAAGAAGATATCCAATAAAATTAGATAAATCAATTATGCCAAAAATTTGTCACTTTTATCACAATGTGAAACTAATAAAAAAAAAAGATGTTTTCATATATCACTAATTGAAGCCATGTTAAGTCAATTGAATGGTTAAACAGTTATATAAAGTCAGATTAATAACTAGAAATATAGGTGAATCTAAACTTTCAATGCAGATAAAATGTAATTTAAATATCAAGTGTAGACAAAGTGTTTACTTGATTTGGATCATGAACATATATGTTAGAAGCATTGATAACAGTTGTCAGATGAAATTGATACAAGTTGGTCAGCTTTATGTCATAGTAACAAAACATCCAAATTTTTCTATTTATGGGGATCAAAATTAGATTTTGGGAGTTGGAGAGATGGAATAGTGGTTAAGAGCACAGACTACACTTCTGGAGGAACTGATTTCAATTCCCAGCAACCACATGGTGGCTTACAATCATGTATAATGGGATCCAGTGCCCTCTTCTGCTGTGTCTAAAGAAAGTTACAGTGTACTCACATTCATAAAATATAAATAATCTTTTAAAAATTATATTGTGTAACTGTTATTTAGTAAACAGTTGACTTACAGTTAGTGTCAAGGCAATGCACACTGTAGAATGTGGCAGAGGAAAGTAGTTCTTCCCACAACCACTGAATGCAACGGGAAGAAAAAGCAGAAGGTAAAGGCTAAATATCCCATTCAAAGGCATGCTTCTACATACATCCATTCTTCCCACTAGGTCTTCTAGTAAGTTCTACTAGCACCAGGCCCTGGGGACAAGCTTTACTGTATGTCCATTTGGTTAAAATGACATATATCAAACTACCCTTCTATGTAGAAATAAGTAGGTAAACCAATGACACATGAAATGATAGTGGTACATATTACATTCTCTTATAGTTTTGGGGATTTTGATGTTCTTATTTTGAGAAAGGGTAGTCTACATGGTCCTGAATGTCCTGGACACACTTATGTAGATCAAGCTGGCCTCAGACTAGCCTGAATCTTCCTACTGAGTGTTCAAATTAACGGTGTGCACCACTAATCCTGTCTTGTATCATATTCTTTTAATATGTAGCAAATACATCAGAGAATCTACTTAATAAGCAAAAAATTTACTTTGTTTTCTTGATTCAGAGATGGCAGAGAGCATCATGGTGGCTTGAATCTGTTGCAGCAGTGTCTTAGTCAAATATTTTGTTGCAAATAAGAATAATTTGATTCTAATCTGTTTATACAAAACAGGATTTTGGCCACAGCACTCCATATCCAAATACCTCCTGGAGAGAGCTGGGAAAAGTGTTTACCTGATCCTCCCAGTATTATTTGTAATGGTGACTTTTGGGGGAGTAGAGTGTTATTTGTCTCATGGGCCACGTACGATATTGAGGATTTTAGTCAGCTGCTTTGAGACACAAGAAATCAACACCAATATCTATGCAATCAAGTTTGCTTTTTGGGGGACTCAGATGTGGACAGTTTGGGTCCTCCCCTGGGGTAGGACATCATGAACCCATTGCAGGTACCCACATTCTGTCCACACCATGCTGAACCAACGTGCACAGATCTGAGTTCTATGCAGCTCCTAAAGGAGCTATGTCAATCCAAGGCTCAGCCAAGCCTCTATCAGTCAGATCAAGTCTATGATAATGTACTTGAGGAGGTTTAGATTACAAGGAGTCAATTTGTTGTTTTATAAATCCAATGAGTCTGTTAAAGGCCCAAGGGCCTAAAGCCATAAGGGGAAGGAGACTGACCACTGGACCCAGGATTAAAGGGCAAAAGGAGAGTCAGAGAACCAGTTTTTAAGCCAACCCTTGTGGAACTGCATAAGAGTATTCTGGGTCATGGCTGGGCAGTCACCTAGAACCCCAAGACTCTGCGTGAGAACCAGC